GACAGACAGAGTGTCTGTCCGGGAGCTGACCTGGGACACGCAGGTGGCACGCTTGGAGCCGTTACTCCTCTCCTGGACGAGGGAGGGAGGGGCGGCCAGGTGAGACTTTCACTATGCGAGGCCAAGAGAGAGCAATAGGGGTCCACGTCCAACCTGCTGTTTCTTCATTTCCAGATTATTCTTCCCGACTCACAAATCTGACCCTCTCTGCCCTGCTCAGCAACCTCGGGAAGCTCCTGCTTCCCTCCAGGACAAAGCCCGTGCTCCTCAGCCGGCCCTCTGGCACCCTGACCTGACTCTGCGTTTGCTGCCTGGTCTTACACTCTCTGGCTTCAGCCCGGCCCGCCTGGGGAAGGCCTGTGCGGCGGTGACCCTCCTGCCATGATCTGCTCACGCCGCGCCTTTTCTGCCCTCTTCACTGGTCGCTATCTGCCTCTCTGTTTCCTCTCCTAAACAAATTTGTACCAAGACATGGATGGCCAACAACTGGCCAATCCCCAGGTGTACGTGCCCCTTACAAGAGGAGCCTGGGGAGGCAGCCCTCTCGGGGGGAAATTAGGGCATGTGACAGAGAGGTGGCTCTGGTGGGGAGGGCTTCCCACACTGTCTACTGGGCCCCTTCGGAGGCCATCCCCCGCCTCTGTCCTTCCTTCAATGCCACCCCATGTCACCCCAAGTAACTGAAGTGTCAGTTTATTCTTCCATGACAAGTGTCCTGCCACACTCCACTCCACCTCTGTCCATGCTGTTCAGTGAGCCGGGAGCAGCCTTTCCTCCCATCTACACTAGCAAGCCCATTCTCAGGAACCCGCTGCTCAGAGCGTCCCCTCCACGCCAGGCAGAGAGCAGCTCCCTGCCCTGGTCTCTACACAGCCTGGACCACGGCATGGCTTCCTGGCGCACCGAACCAGGGTCCCACTGGGGCCTTGGCTTTGGGGGCAAAGGCTGGTCTGGTTTCTGTGGCTCAGGGCCTGGCACTGGAGGCCTTCAGACCCACCCACTGAATGTAGGTCATATGTCTGAATGTGACCTGGACTGGGTGTTATTGCAGGGAAAGCAGCATAAATGAGTCCCTGCATCTGGCAGTGCCAGTCCTGTCCCTGAGGCCAGTCCAACCCCAGCTCACCCATGTCTTAGTGAAGACAGCTGGGGAGTGGACAGGGAGGGGTGGGGCACACACCACTCATCAGACCTCCGGCCTTCAGTCCACTCCTGAGAAGGGAGAATCCGGAGGGTTCCTCAGAACAGCATGACTAGCATGCTGGGGTCAGAGGATTGGAGCACTCGGCTGTTACATTTATGGGGGCCTAGTGGTCTAATATGATGAACAGTCTCTTGTTCATTGGCTCATTCATTCAATCTGCATTTCTTGAGCCCCTGCTGTGGGCCCAGCCTGGTGCTGGGCTCTGGGGAGAGGTATGTGCAGGGGACAGGCCCAGCTGCCCGTGAACATGAGAGTTCAGCGTTTCTGTGAGTCCAGCAGCCTGTGGTTCAAGGGTGCCGGGGGACAGGCATTTTCCCTGTCTGGGGTTCCTGGTGCTGAGTCTCCTCTGATGCCAATAGTAAGACCTCCATTGAGACTCCAGAGGGAGAGCCTGGGGATGGCACATTCCACAGGAGACCCTGAACTGCCCTCACCTATCAGTGTGGGCAAGCCCTGCAGAGCACATATCCTGCATGTGCAATGAGAATGAGGGAGCCCACAACTGCGTTATGCCCATTTTATAGGTGGGGAGAGAAACTTCCCTGAGACCAGGCTGCTGTCTTGGAGCAGCTCCTGGGCCCTGAGAACCCAAGCCAGCTCTTGTGTTCTTTCCTTATGTTCTAAGCACATGGAAATGTTGCCTCCACTGTCGCATGCAGGGGTGGCCATCTGGGTGTCTATATACTTATACAGAGCAAATAGGCAGGATGCAGTGTGATTCCAGGAACTGCAGGAAGGTTCCTGTCTTCCTCTCGCTGGCCAGTTCCACACACAGCCAACATCTGGAATTCCTCCAGTTGGGCTTTATTCCTTTAGCTAAAAGCTCCAATTCTTTTAGACTCCCTGGGAAGGGAAGGCATCATCAGCTCTGGACACCATGGTATAAATGAACTGCAGGCTTTTTCCCGGGAATGGCTTTGGTGAGGGGAGGAGAGAGAGCCCAAGATGTGGTGGGCCTCTGAGGAAGGGGGCTATGACCAGCCTGCCGTGGCCTGTTATGGCAGTTTGCTGCACCTGGGGCCAGACAGTTCCCTGCTCTGAACCTTAGTTTCCCCATCTCAACAATAAGATGGGTGGGCCCCAAAGACCCCAGGGGTTCCCAGGTTTGCAGGCCCTGGAGTAATTCTGCAGGGCTTCGTTTCACATTTTGGGGGTCTCCATAAGGTTTGATGTAAATAAATCTTTGCTAAGAAAACACTTGATGAGTGTAGGGCCAGCCCACATTCTGGGCCCCTCCTGATTGATGCAAAGAGAGGCAAGTCTCTGAACCTTCTGAGGTTCCGTGATTCAAACGTTCTAGAGTCTACAGTGGGAACAGTTGATAGGATAAATGTTCTCCAATTTTGGGAGTCAGGCCACAGCTCCGCGGGCTTTGTCATGCTGGGGAGCCAGAGGCTAGGCTTCGAGACCCTGAGTCCTAGGACAGCAGACGGAGCAGGGCTTGCAAATTCAAATAGTTGTGGAGGCTGGGCAGGTTTTGTAAATGAGGGAAGAAGGTGGGTGGGATCAATGCGGAGTGGTGGAGACTGGGACAGAGGGGAGAATCTCAGCCCCTCTAAAGGGGGCAGCTGTTTCTCACCTCAGCTCTTGTGGGGGGATGCGGGCCCAGTGTGGCAGATCTACCAATCTTCAAGAGAAGCCGGGCCTCTGGAATTCAATGTAAAATCTCCCCATTAAAAACATTCCAGGGCCAAATAGCGACATATCTGTGAGCTGGATTCGGCCCCCACGTTGCTAGTTTGAGACCCTCCAGGCTATGGGTTGGGACTGGGGAGGAGGCGGACAGGTGAGGGGCCAGAGCAGAACAGCCTGTCAACCTTCCTCCTCTCTCCTGGGCAGCCCCTTGCAGCCCCAGGCCCTGTCCTCCTCCCCACAGGCTTCTGAGAGGCCCTCTGCTTTTCGGAAATAACAAGTCAGGGAATAGAAATATTTGTGTGCTCTGCTAGGGCCATTCCCATGGTAGAAACAGCCAGGCAGTTTCCACAACACCAAACACCCCAGAATATAAGCCCTAGATGGGAACCTCAGGTGCCAAGGTTCACCTGGGCCTCTGAGATGGTGGGTGGGGGCCACGAGGCTTCGCTCATCCTCTTTCTCTCAGTGGAAGGTGGGCCGAGCTAGGGACCCCAGCCCCCAAGACTGTGGTTGGGATTTGAACTCAGATGGCTTGGGCTCAAGTCACAGCTCTGATTCAATTGTCTGATTCACTTTGGGTAAATGACTTTGCTGCTTGGTGCCTCAGTTTACCCATCTTAAAAGTGGGCAACAGCAGTGCCTACTTTACAGGGATAAGGTGAGGCTCCAGCAAGATGTCTCACATAAGGGGCGCAGTGCTGTGCCCGCTACCAGCTAAGTGTGTTGTATTATTACTGTCGTGTGGTTTTAGGCTGTGTGGTTGATTAATCTAGACCTCCTGGGAGAGGAAGATTTTGGGCGGGCAGGATTT